CATTTCTGTGCTGTGTCAGCAAATTAATTTTTGGTTGGAAAACTGGTTCCGGATGGTCGAAACAGTTCATAGGATCTTGGAGGGTTGTGGAGTTTCTGATATGCGCAAATCGCACAAGATCCTGTTTTGTTATAGGTGCCTTATGATTTAGGGTTAGGATTTTTTAAATGTATCGTTTCTTGAATAGTTCCAGAAAACGTATTTTTCAGTCGGGTTAAAAAAGTTGGAGCATTGCTGGGTCAAGTGTACGAGCTAAATCGCCACTTTTCCAAAATTTTCGTTTTTGTTTTGTAAGCTAAGTACTTATCGGACCGCCCTCGTACAATGGAAGTGGATTCATGGAACATTTCCGAGTAACTCACACAGTGGCTAAATATATCTCAACTAAATACGAACTCAGTATGTTCTTCGAAAAGACGACTGCAGGTAATGAGAAACTTTCTGCTTTTGAGCAAACACTCATGTTTTTGTAGTTCCCAGGACATGAAACATCATCATTTCATGATAACGATTAGTTGTTTATTCTACTGTAAGACGTTAAATCAAGTCTTTAAGTAGTATTGGCCTAATAATGAGGAAAGAAACATAGAATTTCATCTAAATGTCAAATACAATGCTGTCATTCTCAACTCTTTTGAGTTTTTGACAGAAAAATGTGTTCTAGCATAATCAAATTTGGAACCGTTTGAAACTAGTCTTTTGACAACGCATGCGCGGTGGAGTTCACAATCGGGTGTCAAACGGTTGGAAATGTGATGCTAGAACATTACTACTAAAATTATGAAACTCAAACTCGACATGTGAATCTCCCCTACCCATCCCACTAGGTATATCATGCCATGTATATTGTATTTTTTACAGGTCAAAGGAAACCGATAACATGGCAGCAATTCATAGATCTATGTTTTAAATATATGAGGAAACACCCATTTTCCGATGTTTTCTGGTACCCAAATGGTAGTGTGAGTAGTAATAGGACGCTAAATACCTTTAACTGGATATTTTTACATTGGATTCCTGCCCATATTATCGATAGTTTTGTATGGTTGACAGGTGGAAGGCCTATGTAAGTATGTTTTTCTCAAAGAAATCAATGACCAACATATTCCACCAGAAGATGCATAATTCAATTTGTGACGCCATCTGCTAGTAGCAAGATGAACCGCGCGTAGAAAGGCTCTGAAGACAATGGTCAAGGTCATGGCCAAGGTGATGTTCAATTGCGATGTAAAAAAGGAGGTCCATATGAAAATATTAACTTGACCTTGAAATTACCTTGAAGGTCAAGCTCATTGCCAAGGTCACCATCATTTTATCCCCTCGAGCTCTGCAGCTTTCGTTTGAAGCCTTTTTTCTAGAATGTGCTTCAAGATCAGTTTTTGTTCTTTCAAGTGAAAGCCCTCTTTTTAAGACTCACAATTGAAACAACGGAAAAGTCTACATCATATGTAGTGAAATTTAAGATCAAGGTCATATCTATAGGTCAAATGTGTGAAGCAAGGGAGCATTCCTACCGGTGTAGCAGGGTTATTAACGGAAAAATCAAGGTATCAGCTTTAGTAACTGTTAACAAGAATTTGAATATTGACCTGAGTCTTAACTTCATACATACTACATAATAGTACGAGTACATACGAACGTATTAAATCGTGAAATTTTCCACTGCCGGTGTCAAAAGGTTGGCCTTGAAGGTGAGAGTCAAGGCTTAAACCAAGGTCACCACTGAAACCCGAATTAAAAGTTGCCAACACCTGTCCCTATTAACTTTTTTGGCATCAATAATCCTGCTAAGCTTTTAGGATGTTCCTCTAGCCTCACATATTTGATCGCCTGCTGAGCTTTACAGATGACCTTGATCAGCCTATTATCCGGTCTGTCAAAAGTGTTGGAGAAAATAGTTAATTTACAAATTTGAACATATCTTGAAAAATACAATAAAATACCCGACACCCAATCAGGCTTTAGAAAGAATTATGGAACAATTTGCACTCTCCTCAATCTTCAGGATATGACTACCCGGCATTTGACAACCATGAACTTTTACTAATGAAACTTAGTTATAATATATTGGTCTTGATAAATTAGCAGTATCTTTTCTGAAAGCAACCAAAGATTGTCCTTAACATCGTTGATATCTTCTGGTGTGCCTCAAGGTTCTATATTAGGACCTATACTATTTCTAATTTACATTTTTGATTTAAACAAAATTGTTATTAACTCTCTTATTCAATTGCAGATGATACCCAGTTAATGCTTTTAATCCAAATGAGGCAGCAAGTACAACAAAAATTTTACAAAGTGATATTAATAATTTGATACAACATTCTTTTAATCATAATTTAAAATAAATCCAGAAAAACAGAAATATACTAAGTGACATATAAATCCGAACACCCAGTTTAAATGGTTTTATTTTAATAAAATTCTGTATAAGTACTTAATGAAGCATAATAAGTAAATGATAAAAATTTCAAAATGATTGCACTGCTTTAAAGCCCTTTGACCTTTAATAATGTGTGGATGCACCCTGATGTGCTACGCATTCTCCAACGCGCCTAGGCATGCTTCTGATCAGGTGGTCAATGTCCTCCTGTGGTATCTCATTCCAGGCAACCACCAACTCCTCTCGAAGTGCTTCTAGAGTCTGAGGAGGACGTTGCAAATTGAGCAATCTCCTACCCATCATATCCCACACGTGCTCAATTGGGGATAAGTCGGGAGATCTTGGTGGCCATGGTAACAATGTGACATCATTATGTTGAAAGAAGTCTATTGTGACTCTTGCAACATGTGGTCTGGCATTATCTTGTTGGAAAGTTGGATCTGCCAGGGTGTCAAGATAGGGTAAAAGATGGGGTTCTAGAACTTCGTGGATATAACGCTGCGCGTTCATGTTACCTCTGATGAAGATTAAAGGTGACCTGGAACCATAAGCTATAGCACCCCAAACCATAACTCCAACAGTGTGATGAACATGTGTTTCAACAAAAAACTGTGGATTCCTCCTTTCACCACGTCGCCTTCTAACCCTGGCACGACCATCGTGCATGCCTAAACAAAATCGAGACTCGTCACTAAAGACAATACTGTCCCATTCCTGATCCCAGAGTGACCGTTGTCTGCACCACTCAAGGCGATTACGTCGGTGTTCTCGAGTTAAAGGGAGGACCCAGTGTGGCCGGTATGAAAACAAGCCAAAACTTCTCATTCGTCGGTAAACACTTCACATGCCAATAGGTCTTCCGTGTTCTGCAAACCATTCATTGGCAATGGACCTGGTAGTGGAGAAACGGTCCCTTAAGGCCAATAATCTTAGGCGGCGATCTTCACGGTCTGTTGTTCTACGACGGCGTCCAGTGCCCCTTGCTCTTTGCGTACGGCCTTCTCGAAGCCATGCCTGACAACACCTAACCACAGTGTCTACACTTCTTTGCACTCTAACTGCAATTGCCCGAAAAGAAAGTCCAGCTTCCCGAAGTCCCACTATACGGCCCCTATCAAACTCACTAAGTTGACGAAGTCGTACAGGTCTCCGTACTCTAGGCATCGTAACCGATCGTAAAGGATGTCAAGAACCAAAATCCGCCAACGTTGATTCTTTACTGCGGCTGAAATATTCATTTTTAGAGCGTTAGTGAATTAAAAAAAGCAGTATAAAAACCGGAAGGTCCAACTGATAAGGCTGAAAATTTTTTCACTTGTTATTTACAGTAAGATAAATACATTCACCAACTTTTATTAAAATAAAACCATTTAAACTGGGTGTTCGGATTTATATGTCACTTAGTATATTATTGTTTTGTTATGAAAAAAAGAAAAATGATGCTTCATCTCACTTAAAGATTTCTATAAACAATCAAGTTTTGGAGCTTGCTGAGTCTGCAAAAATACTTGGAATAGTCTTTGACTTTAAAACGAGGTTTGTTGAACATGTGAAGTGTCTGTCCCAAGAACGTATCTCAGGAATTTTAAACCTTGTAAAAATCTCTGCGAGAGTTTAGTCGTATCTGTCCTAAATTACTGTGATACCGTCTATTTTCCACCTTTAGATTGCTTTACCAAAATCATTATCAAAATAATTGTGTTCGGTGTAATTTTGGATTACAAAAATTTGACCATGTCTCAGCCAGTTACCAAATATTGAAGTGGATGAAATTTGAGAATTTAGTAAACTAACACTATTTAATTGTCATGCATACATTTTTGCACAGGTCAACGCCCTTATCCCTCAGAGAAAAAATCGTTTTTAGTATGGATGTGCACATTCGACCTTTAAGCCATAAACTTATAAGAGTTCCACCACACATCACAACATTATTCAAACGAAGTTTCTCGTATAACGAACTATTAGATATACAGGGTGACTTCGAAGTTGAGTCATTTATTTTAACAGTGAGTAGATCTGATCAAAAGAAATGTTTTTTTCCTTGAACATTTTTCTGGTAAAATTAAAGTAACAAAGTTATAGCCCTTTAGAAGTTTGAGTACCGCCCTGTCTCAATAATAATATTATGTGCTCGTGTTTGGCAACAACGGATATAATCCGCCTTATCCGTTCATCGCATCGGAAACAAAAAAGCGAAAGAATTTGAAACGATGTTTTTACTGTACATGTACATGTACAATTTTATTCAGTTGTATTCAGTCGATGTGTCAGTCGGTAACGCGTGAGTGAATAGTGGTGTTTGTTGCGTGGCTCAAACGAAATAAAAAATGGCACATGTTTACGAAAATGCTGAATGTAGTACAAAGGGCTCGTGAATCAGGTGACTTAAGACCTCACAGGGGAGCGCATGCCGGTGCTCCAAGACCGCCCGATCAAATACAGGTCCGCACTGAAATACTTGTCGGGAGGATACTTTATAAAACAAGGTAACATTTTTTTTTAATTTTTCTTTTATTTTTCACACATATTTTGGTTTATCTTCCTTCTACAATCATTATCTGAAAATTAATGACTCAACTTCAAAGTCACCCTGTATGTATAAATAAAAGCAATCCTAGAGTATAATATATAAGTAAATCTTATTCTTATCTTATTTATAAAAATAAATCTAAATTTCAGACATCAAATATAAGTTACGGTATTAGACGAAAACAGGATCTTAAATTAGTAGAATCTAAATCAACACTTGTGAAATACTTAATTATTCGTAATGGTTTGAAAATTTACATGTGCCTCCCTGATGATATCAAAAGAATCAACAATTTAAAGATATTTCGCCGTGAACTTCCTGTGGGAAATTGTATGTAATCGTCCAGATACACATTAGTGTTGGGCAACTTCGTGGAGAATATGTTGATCATTGATGAAGTCTATGCGACCCGAACCATTTTTTTTAATCTGTGTAGTTAAGTACTTAAAGTAATTATTTCTCTTTTTTATTTCAGAATGGTTAAAATCCAGAACAAATTAACAAAAGCAGCTAGTTGTTTAGAATATTTCACCACGCAACAGTGGCAGTTCAATGATGAAAATGTTAGGAATCTAGTCTCAACGTTGAACGAAGTGGATAAAGAAGTATTTTGTTTTGATGTTGCCAAAATAGATTGGAACAAATATATAGAAGATTACGTTTTAGGTATTAGGAGGTGAGTTTAAATTAATAATCATAGCAGTAATCGTTATTTGCAAATACAAAATGCTATACAAAAGCTGTAAACCATTTGTGATACAAATAGCATCAACCAAACAAAAGTAACAATAAAATCCTGCTCTTTAGCATGATATTCAAATCTTCCTTGAAAAAGTTAGTGATTGAATATGGCTCTAGATTTAGTAATATTTTGTATAATTTTTAAATGTACTTGCAATTTGCTCTACATTGCGTTGTTCGAAAAACATAGCACAGGTCTTAGTGTTACTAGGTTTGTACATTTTCCACATCATATCCCCCCTTATCATAATATGCAATCTTTGGATCTGTAGCACTTATAAGCAAATCTGTTCCATCTACATACTACGTGATTTTACATACCAGTGTCAATATCGTTTAAAAAAATTACAAACAATTTGGGACCTAATATACTGCCCTGAGGCCCTACCCTGTTTTAACATTAAGCTCATTTGAAATAGGTATTCCATTAATAGTTTTACGTTTTGCTTACGATTGCTATGGTATGATTCTATCCAAGAAAGTTTAGGGACTTGTGAATGTAACTATATGCACTCTGAACTCTGATTCGATTTACACTTGTTGTAGGTTTATATTCAAAGAAGAAAGAACGTCGCTTCCGAAAGCACGTCGACAGATGTCAAAACTCTACTGGTCGTACCGGATAATGCAAGTTGTGTCGGTACTGCTGACCTGGCACTTCCTGACCACGCGGTACGCCCCGCTACGCAGACTGTGGACCTCGGCGTTGCATTTCCTCATGCACATAGCCAGCATGCTACCCTTCGTTTAACATCAAATATTAAATGTCATCCGCCCCTCGTATAGTTTGTTCGGTTCAGTTTCTTCAGTCACTGAAATGATGAAAATAAGAGAATCTACGTTGTTGTGACCAAAACAAAGTATATGGAGACGTTCTTATAGGTCCTAGGAAGTTTTTGCATGATGGGTATAGATCCAATAACATTTTATCTGTCCTAGTAAACCCGTGGCCATTGATTAACATATTCTACCTAAAGAGAGGCAACCATATACAGGGTGTCAGAAAAGTTCCGGAATTGTGAACTAATAATGGTAGGAAAAAATTAAGCCCCTCTATTGATAGGAGTTTTCTCCAGCCATTCGATGGAGACCGTAACCTACTAGGTCATTTGAAGGACAAGTCGAGATTTTAAATGGAATCGCCCATTTTTGACCTTGTAAATGAGAAGAGCGGAAAATTTTACGTCCGAATATGGCATATTCTGAAATTTTGACCTTTAAAAGGTCATGGTCAAAGCCAAATCCAGGTACGATGATATAAATTGAAAGCCAGTAGTCGTATAGGGAAACTATCGGGACATAATTTTCATGATTTTCCCCGGATATCCAATGGTAGCCTTAAATCTGACCTTGACCATGGCGTTCAAGGTCATTTGAAGGTCAACTCTTTTTTATGGGACCCTATACCTCTGACCGCAGATACGGGGAAAAGGGAAGATTTTATGTTCGAATATGTCCTTGTCCTTTTTAGGAACTTGACTTTGGACTTGACCAGGAAGGTCAAACACAAGTTCACATTAGTTTCTTGATCAACCAGAAAACTGTATAATTCCCATATAAACTGACTTTACTGTTCTTTCAGGTTTGTTCCCTGGCTACCAAAATCGACTTGACCTTCTCATGACCTTGAATATCATCTTGGTTAGTGTCAGTTTCAAGGTAACCATTATAAATCCGGAGAAAATTCATGAAAATAATGAGTCTGTAGTTTCGCTATTCGATTACTGGTTGTCAAGTTATATCACCATATCTGGGTTTGAGCTTGACCACGACCTCCCAGGGTCAAGACCATACTTGAACGTAAAATTTTCCTCTTTTTTCATTTACGGGGTCAAAAATGGGGGTTCTACTTTTAAGTAGCAGTAGTTTTTAAAAACTCGAATTTGTGGCACCTCTTAAATGCCTATTTTAATAGGGTATCTTCAGGCATCTATTAACGAATTCCTCCTGAAGATACCAAATCAAAATATGCATTAGACTGGGGTTAAGAAGAGAATGAAGGTCCTAACGCCATCTGTGAAACAGTAGCAGCTCTTTTCTACGTAGATTTCTGATTTCATTTTTGTTTCCCGCTATTGTGTCGTAGATGGCGCCTTTTTGGGAGCCGCAATGGTTGCCTATCTTTTGTTTATGTCTAAGTTTGTTGACAGAGAATGGTGTTAAACAGTCAAAGATCCGTATTACGCTCGACCTCCACCGATATGTCGGCCTGATAAAGAGTATTTTTTACAAAATGAAATAAGTTTAAGAATATGTCGGCGATAGGTTGCCTATAAAAAATGTTTAATGATAATTTTTTTATTAAATACTGAAAACGGCAATGAGTAAGTTAACAAATGCTTCTTTATCTCGCTGTAGATATATTTTTTCTTATAAGGGTTGTTAAAAGAACAAATAATGTAAAAACGAACCTTTAGACATGGTGTTTTGAGGGGGCAAAATGATAGTGAGCTTGGTAATGACCTTGACTGTAACATTCAAGGACAAGTGAACACTTTCAAATGTAACCCGTCCTTTTTTACATCTGAATTGAAAAGAGGAGTAAATTTTACGGCCGAACATGAGCTTGTCTATGGCCATAACTGATTTCAAGGTCATTTTAAGATCAAATCTAGACACTGAAAACAATTTACTCTTGCAAACATGTTCGACAACACTATTGTGAGGTTTGGGGAGATCATCTAAAGGTGACCTTGCCCATGACATTTAAGCTCAAGTCAAAGCTTCCACAATGGAAAATTCAGGAAATTTTACGTCCTAATGTGACCTGAAACAACATTTATGCTTGATATGACCTTGACTTTGAGGTCAATGTCACATTCGAACATGAATTTTCCTGCTTTTTGATTTCCAGTATAATTTTAAATTTCGACTTGATTGTGAAGGTCAGGGTCAAAGTTATGCCTAAGGTCATCTTCGGCTGATCCCCACAACTGTGCGGGTCGAACAGTTTTTCTAGAAGAAATTGTTTTCAATATCTTGATTTGACCTTGAAATGGCTTTGAATGATCAAAGTCATGGCCAAGGTGATGCTACGACATAAAATTTGTTCCTCTCTTCGATTCTGATGTGGAAAAGGGGGTTTTATTTGAGAATATTCACTTGACCTTGAAGGTCGTTGCAAAGGTTTGCATCATCGAAATCTTAGTTTTTCTTTGGATTTTTTTTTGCTAGGATGAGCATGTATAAACTATATTTGAATAATGGATTTATTAAGTTAAATAAAGTGTTATGGCATCTGAGCTAGATTGCAGCAGTTGGATAAGTTATTTGTCGATGTTTGAAAAATATCTGTGTTGCTTGAGCATAACCATTGACAACAGAAAGCAAATGTGTATCTCCACTTTTAAAAAAAATGATATGCAAGGTTTTTACGAAAATTACATATTTCTCTAATATCTACAAATCCCATATTAGTCCAGTAAATGAAGATATTAAATATAAAAGAAATTAAGATTATATTCGCTTGCTGTGAAAATACTTGTTTTTCCCTTATCACATTATGCAGGAACGTATGTCTGAAAAATTGACCATCATTGGAAAAATTCTGGAAAAACTAATGTAAAGGCATGTCTATTGGCTTTGTTAGAGTTGAACTACCCTTGGGTCTCTTCGAGTTATAGTTTATGTTGTCGAAGTTTTTTCTCTTTCAGTTTTCACTTACTGGGTGATACTGCGAAAAAACAAGGTATTCATAATTAAATTTCCTGTTATGTTCATTCAATTTATTTGGCATTGTACTATTTATTAACTATCGCGAAAGAGTGTAATATGCGTGAAAAACAAAAACCTTTATATAGATAGGTAACATTTGAAAATAAATCCTAAAAAGACGGCGTTGTTATATTGTACTTGAATGTGGTGCTTCCATTTTGAAAAGTTGAAAACTTCCATCGTTGTGTCACGTCGACCATTTACGCACAAACTTTTTTGAACAATTTTATACCCCAAAAATCGCGCTATCCAAATCCAGGACAGCATATAGCATAAGCCGTGTTCTAGCAACGATTTTCAAATGGTGCGCAACCATCAAAGGACCGGGAACAAAACATGGAAAATGGTCCCAGTTGATTTCTCTAAAAATTCAGGAATGATATATGTCTTGTCATTCCGAACAAAAGCGTCCATGTAAGCAGAGGAATCCTATGATTAGTTTCTCAGAAATGGTGAAGAAACAACGACATTATCAAAAAATAATAATGCACATTGATTATTATTGCATAATTAATTCATTAGCTTGTCGATAAGATATCCAATTAGTCGATACTTTATTGGGTGTCTTAAACTTGAGTAAGTTCCTTTGCACCGTTGCTAATAACTGAATCGCCTGCAGCATATGTACCTACTATAAATAATAATTGGAGGATGATATCTATTAATAAGAACACCAGTTATTTTCTAAAGGTTTCCTACATTTCAATAGTTTTCTCGAGGAAATTTAAAAATTGATTTGATGTGCACATTCATTTTTGCAAAGCGGTAAACTCCGTCCCCCTATTTCTCAGAAACTAATCACAGGATTACTTAACTTTTGCTCAGGCAGGCGAGAAATATATCTCACTGAATTTTTATAGAACTGGACTCTGGTACCTATTTTCCATATGTTTTGTGGGAAGTACTTTTATATTATTATCTCTAGATCTTCTATTTGTTTCTAGAACGATTGACCTAACTTTCATTTTACTTCGTAAGTAAAAAGAAACGAAAAGATGATCGGGAGATTTCGTTGAGCAATGAACTGTAATTCTTCTCAAAAATTATAACTCTATTATAATACAATCTATCTTGGACTTGGATGGGGCTTAGAAATCATTTTTCCAAAAATTAGTTAGGTATCTTCCAATGGAAAACTTATTGTTACGTTTTCGATATGCAAAAATTTCGGCAAGACTACCTTTAATTTTTCGAAAAATGTATTCTAAATGTATCAAGGTGCGTACTAGATGGTGCCAAAGCATTTTTGTGGAATTTCTGATTTCATTGCAAACTGCAACAACTGTTGGCAATAACAGGCAAAACCTGAGATTAATTTATCAGACGAATATGAATTCCGTAATTATCTTTACAAAAAACATTTAATAATTTGGCTACTTGATTTTATATTGCGTTCGAAAGAATTGGCAGCCGAAAATTAGAGTGAAATTCGAATTTAGTACGTTTTTCGAGATGGTATGTGATCGAAACTAGAATATCTAAAAAAATAAAAATAATGTATAATAATATTCCCTTATTCATGGCTATACCAGCGTGTTATTAGCATTTAGGTTATTCCCAAAAGTGGCTGAAAACAAATAAAAAAATTTGGTCACATCATACTTTCGTTGATCTAGCATATTTTATATTTGTTGTACCAGTGAAGACGCTTTATACTTCATACAATCATCAAGATTGGAAAGTGGGGCGTAACACTGGACTTATAAAAATTAAGTTTATATGATAAAAAAATAGTCTGGGGTTTCATAGATCGCTTTATGTCTTATCATTTCTTTAGTTTCTAAGTACGATTTGTTAGAACAAGGGTCTCTCACCTGTTTGTCACTATCGTAATTAGAAACTAAGAAATTTTGTAGGAGAAGACATTTGGTAGTCTTTGGGGTCCTAGACAATATCTGAATTGCTCTAAACGCCAGTCAACGGGTGTTTTAATTGCAAGAAATCGCTTTGGCTGATGTCTAAACATGTACAAAAGACGGAAAAACTTGTTGAAAATACACTCAATTTTACTGACCGAGTCAAGCTATCAAGTTGAAATTGTTGAGTTACACGTGAGAAGACATTTTAGTGAAACAATCGGAATGCAGTAATTTTTAAT